CTTTTGGCAAGCGTTGCTGAGAAACTGCTTAGTTTGGGACGAGGAGAGGTCCCTAGCTTTTATCAACTTAAAACCTTCGACCGAATCAATGACCTCGGCTTCCAAATTTCACCAGGGTGTGCTGTCCCATAGCAGAGTTCTTGGGGATGAGTCCTGCTTAGCGTGGCTCCGCCCAGCAGACAAAGTTGTCTCCAAATATCAGGTTCAATAAGCAAAACACTAATTTGCAATTGTTTGTTGGACAACTGCTATGCATCCCATGCCATCCCATCTCATGAGCCCTGGCCCTGTCTTTGGGAATTCTGCAACTATCCTGGGTACATCCCAGGTCTCAGCCTAGTGTGTGTGTGTGGTGGGGGGGGAGTGCAGAAAGAGCCTCGAGGAAGCATTTTTGTCCACCCAGAAAAGATAGTGATCGGCTCTGACCTTCCTACAATCCCCCCAGGTTGGATAGACCCAGCTTACCATTTAGAAGCTGAGATATCCTAGCAAATAACTCAGCCCTTCTGAGCCTCCGTTAACTTATCTGAAAATGGGGTTATCAGATCCCTTCCTTTTAGGGTTGTTGTGAAAACGCAATGAGAGATGTGTGAAAAACGCCTAGAATAGTCACTGAGATGCATTATATAGTCCATGAATAGTACCTTTCTCCCTCTCTTTTTTCTTTCATCCCTACCTTCCTTCTCTCTCTCTCCCCCTCTTTCCATCTTTCCTCCTGGGGCCTACCTTATGGAGAAGTAAATTTACTTTAACACATTGAAGAATGGACCAATAAGGGTCCGATTTTATTATTTTGTAATAAAACATTGACTGGTCCTCAGAGACCTCTAGGAACGCCTGTTAGACCAGTGAACCTCGTGCAAGCCTCCCGGCTCAGTGCTCATGAATTGCTGGTCAGCCCGGGGCTGTGCATCTGTCTTCTCGAACGTGGTAATCACAGAGCGAGTATAAATGCTAAAGAAAGAACCAGGCAGGGCAGGGCAGGGCTGAACCACATGAGTGATGCTGTGAAGATTTCAGGGAACCCGCGAGAGGACCAGGAGGTGGGCGAGGCAGAAGGACAAGCTGTCTCGCCCTCGCTGGCATTTAGGGACAATTATGACCTATTAATGGCTGACATCGGAGCTCTGCCCTGCATCTGAGCTGAGCCAGGGCGGCCCACAGATGTGCGAGGCCCACAAATATGCACTTGGAAACTCCTGAACTTTCAGTGACTTGACTCCAGCTGATCTGATCGGCAATTACGTTTTATTTTGGGGCCAGGGAGGCAGCAGAGAACCGGGAAAATTATAAGACATTGGAGTGCAGTTTTTCTAAGAATATCAACTACAAACTTTTTTAACCGATTGTTGTTTCAATGGTTAGAGGTTTGCAAGGCACTAAAATAAGAAACCTTGGGCACTAAAATCAGATTATAGCCAATTTTCCCAAGAGAGGTTTTAAGCTTTTGTCCAACAAAAATCTGCGTGCTTTTTTTTTTTTTGAGGAGACAAGGGATAATTCCTGCCAAGACAAGTTTGCTGGGGTCAGTGAGCACAGCATCTGGATAAACAGATGTGTCGTTTGCTCTGGGTTTGAATCTTGACTCTGCTTCTTACTAGCGGTGTGACCTTGGGCACGCTGTATGACCTTCTCGGCTCAGTTCTCCGATGCATAAAATGAGGGTGTAATGCCTAGCTTGGGGCTTATTATAAGCACTGGATGAAATGTGCATAAGCATCTGGTCTATGGCATCAGTACACAGTAACAAGACGGTGCCTTCTTGCCGCAATGTTGGTTTCTTATCGTCTGAAATAAACGGTTCCTGTTTTCACCACCATCTGTCAAACGCAAATACCCAATCAGCATCCAAGGGGGACCCGGGTCTCCAGGAGCAGTTTGGTTTCTAGCAATTGCAGGGGTGGTCCTCTGCCTCTGTGATACCATCAACCCAGGCTGAGCAACGCCAACAGTCTGGCTGGTAGGAAAACGCGAGAAACCAGCCACCAGGCCTGATCAGGTGCAAAGCTGCAAGTACCTCATGGACACAAAACCTAACTCAGCGGTTCTCAACCTGTGGGTCGAGACCCCTTGCAAGTGCCTCATGGACACAAAACCTAACTCAGGCCATGGGGTTGCCGGAAGGGGTCTCGAACGACCCTTTCACAGGGGTCGCCTAAGACCATCGGAAAACACATATATAATTACATATTGTTTTTGTGATTAATCACTATGTTTTAATTATGTTCAATTTGTA